GGGGACACCGTGTGGTGTGGGGTGGTGTCACAGTACCTCACTCTCTGCCAGGTGGTGTTGTGTCAGGTGTGAAGCCGACCCACTGTTGTTCCCAGGGTGGACTGATTAGCACCGCCTTGTCAGAAGACGGTGGTCAGTTCCCAGGGGTGCTCATCTCACTGGTGGGTCACGGCTCTCACTGGTACTGTCGAGTGCTGAATTCACTGGCTTGAATACTGTTCAACACTGATCCCACTTCTTTCCGAAACGAAATTGTCACTTTTGATTATGTTGATATCCCGGTGGTGAGGATGGGTCGGGGAGAGGGACTTGTTGAATGGGCTGAACATTGGCCAAGGGGGGCAGCTGCGTAGCAGGAGCAGCGCCTGAATAGGTCTCGACCCTACGATGGTTAAGGATGAACACGCACACATGAACACAAGAACATCACACGAACATCACACATGAATACACACACACACACGTGAACTTTACCCAAGTGTCATACATGGTCCAGGTTATGAAACATTATGGACCTTTTATACTGAAACTCTACAAAGTTATTAACATTTCACCTGTGGAATGTTACGAGACAATTACCTCCATTACCTCCCTTGTTGGGCCAAATATGACCTTTAGCCTCATTTTGTGATCAGTTGATTAAATGACTTTGATATTTATTCATTTTCATTCATTTTGGAGATCATGATAAATTAATATACACCCATGAAGGTTAGGTTAGGTTGTTATATCAGGTTAGGGTAGGTTAGGTTACGGAGAATATACATAGATCAGAGGTTTTTAAGACAGCATTGTACTCAAGGGATTAAACTATTAAATTCTCCTCCTCAAGGGTTTAAAGAGTTTTAATATATGGTCTAATTCATTGTACTCAGGGTTAAATTCTTCTCCTCAAGGGTTTAAAATGTTTTAATTAATGGACTAATTTATTGTACTCAAGGGGAATGGCATCGTACTCAAGGGATATTCTGAAAGTAAGCGAATATTACGTAGGTGCCAACAGAGGTAAATTGAAGCCTCCATATTACAGGACTGTGTTTACGAAGGAGAATAACCCTGAGAGAAATACATAACTGGCCGGTAAAATATTTCGAGTCAGACCAAAAAATGCAGTACAATGTTGATGATCTTAGTATGGGAGTCAACGATGATATTTGTGGGTAAAAGTAGAGTTCTAAATCTGATTGTGTTGCTAGAGAGATATATTTAGTCGTAGGAGCGAGAATTATCTTGAAGTAAAGCGAAATATTTTATCACTTACCTGTAACAAACGGGCAACAAAAAGAATGGAAAAAAAAATAAATAAACGTTCGTAGTTGGATATCAAGATCAGTATAGTATGCGTGGGGACAAAAGCCGTGAAGATATCCTGACACACAAGATTCCTTACCGA